CACTCCAAAGAGAAAGGAACAATTGAAATCGCATCATATGACCACTTTAAAGCTTCAGTTTCAAAGTAAGTTCTTCAATACTAGTGTAACAGTCTTACATCACTCTAGAGGTATCCCACAATTCTCTATCACACACTGCCAGCACACATGGTAGCATTTCCCTTGAACTTTTACGCAACCTCTCAATGCAGCACCCTGTGAGTTCATGTCTGCGTGTTTGCGCGTGTACCTGGCCTGTAGAAAGGACACATTGGCAGTGTCGGGCAGAGCCAGTGGAAACTTCCTGTTTGAGCGCTGAGGGCATTCGACACTGCACTCATTCACCCCCTCTCTCTATCTCTCCGGCCGCTCCATTCTCCCTCTCTCTCGTCAGTGGCGTTCACATACACCTCTATTAGATATCCTCTAGAGGTCAAAGGAAGTCACATGATTACTTGCACCAGAAAATGACATTATGTAATTTCTTCAAGTAATATATTTTCAATAAGTCTGTTTCACTTGTTAAAATCCCTTATTTTAAGTATGAGCATAAATGAAATATGAAAATGATGTAAAGGCACTGATTGTATTGTGGGATGATGCAATAATAGAGTCATACTATGATGTAACACTGGAAAGACATCATACAGTGGCTTGACCTTTTTAGTAGGCTGTTAAAATGAAGTGTAAACTCGTGTTTTTATGAGAAAGAAGGAGTTCATCCCTGCGGTGTGGCTGTTAGCGAAAATCATGGAAAAGTTGCTTCAGCTTTTACAGTTTGGAAAAGTTGATTTGGTCTCTTGTGAACGAGGGTTTGCGAGCAGAAGAGCATTCGCCTCTTTCTCCTCCTCTCATTGACACGGGATCAATTTTACTGCAGCAGCACTAAATCAAGCCCTCCGCTTTAAGAGACAGACAAGAGATCTGTCAAGACGAGCAGCGCGTCGAATCAGGGACTGCTGGGACTGAGTGTGAGGGGGAGAGACGCACAAGGACAGCTTTATCAGCAGCGCGCGCGTGTGTGTATGAGTATGTGTATGCGACAGCTGAAAAGAGGTATTAACTGTCTCGCGGCGCAGGACTCGCTGCCATGCAGTTTGGTGTTTACTGAGCAAATACAGACAGACGCGAGGGCACACAAACTAGCGCAGCACTCAGCTGGACTCAGCGCAGCAGGCATGAGTCATCATCATCATCATCATCGCCACAGCAACAGCCGCTGCCAGCCTGACGTGTCCACACTGTAATGGAGGAATGATAAGAACGATAAGGATACACTTCCTGTGTGTATCAGCACCAATTCTGCTCTAATTTCTGCATGATGTGATTAAGATGTACTATACCATACTAGCATGTTTATATATAATACAATAAATTAAAATAATATATTTATGTATTATACTTGCTTTAAATAGATTGCATAATGTAATTTACATAATATAAATATAAAATTGCAATTTAAAATAATTGTTTTCTATTTTAATATATTTTAAATTGCTCCATTACTCCAGTCTTCAGTGTCACAGGTCCTTCAGAAATCCTTCTAATATGCTGATTAGGATCTCAAGAAATAATTCTGATTATTATAAATGTTGGATACAGTTTTTGCTGCTTAATATTTTTGTGAAACCATGATACACTACCATTCAAAAGTTATGTAAGATATAAGAGGTATGTAAGATTTATTATTATTATTATTTTAATTAATACTTGTATTCAGCAAGGGCACATTCAGTTGTCATTTATATTGTTCAAAAGATTATTTGGAAATTTTTCAGCAAAAAATCATGAAAGAGAGTAAAATAATAAAATCAATTAAGCAGCAAAAACTGTTTTCAGCATTGATAACAATAACCACTGTTAATATTTGAATACCAATAATAAATTATAATATTTGAGCACCAAAAAAGCATATTAGAGTATGCGTATTGCGTATTGAGAGTAAAGTATCATGTGACACTGAAGCCTGGAGTAATGATGCAGAAAATTAAGCTTTACCATCACAGAAATAATTTTAATTTACAGTTTTTGTCATATAACATATTACCATAATACGTGTGTGTTGACATATAATAAATATAATATAATATAAATGTTAATGCATATCTTTTGAAGTGCAAACTGATTTGAATCTAATTCTGAAAAATGTACTCGTTTTATTGTGGACGTCTCTAGTAAGGAAATCAAATGAATTCTCTGAGTTAAACTTCAGCCCTCTGAGTGTGCTAAACTCTCTCTGAGCTCATATAAATGGATGATAAATCGTAGCATGAGGACAGATGGAGGAAAGGATGAGAGAGGCAAGGCTTTGACTTTCTATAATAATTCATCTCACGCTTATAAAAGCTAGTCTGAGAGCTTCTGAGGTCGTCGCGGTCACGGGGGCAAATCATAACCTCAGTGACCGAGAGTCAATCTCCTAAAAAGCAGCAGCGAACTTTCAGTGAGACATTAGTGGGTGTTTCTTCAACTATGGCCGCAGGTTGATTTTTATGCAAACAAACAGATTTCAACTTTCAATAAGATTTAGTGTTAAAATTTTGAAAATCCATCATATGTTTAATAATCATAAAATTATTAAATTATCATAAAAATTGCATCAATTATATGCATACAACTATAAAAATAAAAAGATCTGTATAAAAGACTGACAAAGATTTTTATTTGATTTTATTTTATTTTTGCACAAATAACAACTGAGAAAAATCAAGGTAAGCATGAAAAAAAGTTTACCACATTTACCTTCATTTTGTTATGTGTTATAATATATATATATATACAGTGGGTACGGAAAGTATTCAGACCCCCTTAGAAAAATGAATTTATTTATTAAATATGTATTCATATCTATTGAAATTGAAATTTGCCTCAGCAAAACCATTTTTCCAAGGATGAACATTATTAATAGACAAATTAAGTAAATTAGAGTGTGAAAAGTTCTAAACTTCCACAGGGCCAAAAGTGCCAATATATTTAAGAAACACCCCACCGCTCTCTCTGGTGGGCAAACAGATCCTTTGAATGTATGATTATTAATGCTTTGCTCGTGGTGCTATTTATGTTTACTTCTTACGGCGTTTTGCACTCTCTGTATTTCAGGAAAGCCTGAACGTGGTGAAGATAAATGTACCGCACACAAACACAAACGTACCTCAAACACACTTACGCATATCAACGCTCTGTTGTAGCGCATCGACTTGACAAAATGTTACAGTTACCGCAGGCTACTGCCAGCTGTGTTTTACTGTGCGATTTGAATCTCATTAAAGGTGCGCGCAGTCATTTTTTCCTCATTAAAATTTAACATGTAAAGAAATTAAAAATACTTTTGGAAAAAATAGGGTTAAAATCATATCAGTAGCCTAATAAAAAACGGCTTTATTTTACAACATTTTGAGATCACATGACCAGCCGAATACTCACTTCATCTACTCACTTTTACTCGTTATTCAACATATTTGTTTATCAAATCATTCACAATTATTGTATGCTGAATCTTCATTAATGCATTTTGCTACTGAATGCAAATATGTCTGTTTTTCTTTCCCACAAACCTCTGCCAGAGTTTCAGTGGGCATCTGTGTGTGTGTGTGTGTGTGTGTGTGTGTATGTGTGCGTGTGTATGTGTGTGTGTGTGTGTGTGTGTCGTTCTAGTATTATTGTAATGTGAATGCATTCCAGCTATCTAATTACGGTGGAGAGCAGCTAGCTGTGTTGGTGTGCTGGGAATAAATTAGCTCAGGGCGTCTACAGACTGACAGAGCACCATGTGAACGTGTGTTTTTGTCTGAGAGACAGAGATACTGAGGGAGGGAGAGAAACAAAGAAACATAGGCTGAGGGAGAGACCATATATCTTAGCATCGTTGTCTGCTCTGTGATAACGAGGTGAAAGTACGTGTTGAAGACTGATGCTGGATCTGTGCGAGCGCAGGAGAGAAACAGGCAGGAACAAATAACAAAACCTGTGGAGGGTAGCCTCAGTTAGGATACAGTGCTGAATCCGGTTCTGTTCACACACAGATCAGTTATAAACAACCTCAGTCTATAAACAAAGTGACTCTCTTAAATATTATGAACTCAAAAATGAATTTTTAAAGTATGATCAGAGCCATCTGTGCGAGCGCAGGAGAGAAACAGGCAGGAACAAATAACAAAACCTGTGGAGGGTAGCCTCAGTTAGGATACAGTGCTGAATCCGGTTCTGTTCACACACAGATCAGTTATAAACAACCTCAGTCTATAAACAAAGTGACTCTCTTAAATATTATGAACTCAAAAATGAATTTTTAAAGTATGATCAGAGCCTTTTATTGTGAAGACTTTCTAGTAGTGGTCAGCCAGTGTTTTTTGGCTGTTATTTTAGAGAGACGAGTGACTGAAAAGCTGATGTGTACTGAATATATGTATAATATCGCATGAATTAACTGAACGATAAATCACATTTACACAAAGTTGCTGCAATAAAAAATGATTACATAATATTTACTACAATATTTTGAAGATTATTCAATATAAATAGATAATGACTAAATAATTAATATAAAGTTTAAATAATTTAAGATGTGCAACATTGCTGCAATAAAATTAATATTTAAAATATATATATATACTTAAATATTTTATATTAATAATCTATTAAATAATCTGTTTGAAAAATAGTCTGTAAAAATTATTTATACTTTGGATGCACAACATTGTTGCAATAAAATTAATATTTATTTTACATATTTATGAAAATATTTAAAATAATTTGATAAATTAATCAATATGAAAAACATGTTTGAACCTGATAAACTTGATGAACTTGAAGTTTAAGTTGCACAACATTGCTGCAATACAATTATTTATTTTATATAATATTTAGCAAAATAATAATAAAAAAAATCTGAAAAATAACTTGATAAAAAACAGATCTGTAAGAAATATTTTATACATTTGACGCAATAAAATTAATATATACAGTATATACAGTATATATATATAGTATATATAGTATTATAAATAATATTATAAATAATTTATTTCAACTATATTATTTATAATAATTTAATAACTTATTGCTTTATTATTACTATTCATAAAATGATTTCAACTTGATTAAAAAAATAGCAACATCTCCTTGATTCTGGTTTTAAAAATAAAAAGGAAAGTAACTGAATATGACATAGCAGCAAATTGGAAATAATGTACAAGGGTTTGTAATCTAGGATTTAAAATTGCTCTTCAGTGAAAATGTTGCCGATATACAGTATATTGGTTGACCACTAATTTTTAGTATCACAGAAATACAATCTCTGATATGTACTATTGTTACTATTTACTATTATGATTAGAAACATTATTCATAGCTATTGTGACAACAGAAAAGGTGCTTGACTTCAGTTATTTATTCATACAGACAGTATCTGAGATGCTTCTGTAAACTGTTGTATAATCTGTTGGTAAATATGACTTTTAATCCCAAACACAGACTGACTGAACGTAGCTTTGGTCATTGACATGTGTAGCTGTTGTTAGCCCTCTCAACACACAGCTCACGATCACACACACACACACTCTGTGCTTTGAACCGGGCCTGTGGACATACGGTTGTGGAGATGCCATGGTCAATTGCGTTAAGATCAGAGAGGGAAGAGAAGAGAGGGAAAGGCATGAAAAATAGCAGAAAATAGGTTTGTAGAAAATGGACCTGCAGAGGTTTTTTAGAGAAAGAGAAAAGTGACTAAACCAGGAGCCATCGAACCTTAATTTGCCTCACATTTACCGCTCTTCACCTCCTTTTTTACTTCTTACGACCCCATTTCTCTTATCTATACCCCTGCATAATGGAGTTCAGGGCCGATAGCAGGAAAATCCACTCAAGCTTTTACATCAAGGTTTTCTATTACCAAATCCTGACGTGTTTGCAGGAACCGGAGTGGACACTATATCATTAGCTATATATGTATAAAGAGACTGTGCTTCCGAGAAAAGCTCTCAGCGTTTTGAACGGCTCTGCCAAATACAGACACTGTCCTGCTACTGATGAGGCTCAGACTATAGTTTTAAGAATTTTTTACGGAGCTACTGAGTGATTGATTATTATGATTATCCATTGTAATTAATTATTTCATGCTGCCTGTCTCCTATAAACTTTGAATAAAATTTGAAGGAATAGCACATGCAAAAATGAAAACTGTCTTCATTTACTCACCCTCGTGTCATTCCAACCTGTATGACTTTCTTCTATCTGTGGAACACAAAAGTAGAAGTTTAGTTGAATGTTCATGCTGCTCTTTTCCATAAAATGAAAGCAGATGAACATGGACGTTAACAAGCTTCAAAAATGATAAAAAGCACCATAAAAGTACAATATCAGGACTTTTGTGATATATTTTACAAAGCTGCAGAAGACTGAAGAAAGAAATTTTGCGGAAGAAAGAAAGTCATACAGGTTTGGAAGGAGAGTAAATGACAATTAAAATTTTTGCATGAACTCTCCCTTTAAGAATAAACGTCTACACAACCTGATTTTATGTTCTGTATCTGCAAAGACATGGTTTCGGTTTCCATATTAATTGATCTGTTAATAAGGTGATGCAATGGTGCTTTATTCTAGGAATTTTAAAACCTGTCAGCGGCGCAGATACTGGCCACAAACTCTGGGAAAATTCCACTGGAATAGAGCGCTTAAACTGATGAGAGTGGGTGTGTGTATAAAAGAGAGTGAAAGAGGCTGAGAGACACACACACACACACACACACACATACGCATACACACACACACACAGAGAGACAGAGTATGTGGGTGGCTGTAGGTTTGAATAATGATTTTGGAGAAGTGTACAGTGCTGTTCTCTTTGTAAATGTTAGATTACATCCAAGATGAAGAAACTTGATGAAACCGAGTGAAACCAGAGCTAGAGATATCGATTTCAACTACTAAAGAACAACGCAAATGGGAATAGTTCACACAAAAAGTGAAATTCTGAAAGTTTAGATAGACAGACAGACAGACAGACAGATAGGCAGATAGATAGATACAGTGGTGTGAAAAAGTTTTTGCCCCCTTCCTGTTTTTTTAATTGTTTGCATATTTGTCACACTTAAAAGATTCAGATCATCAAACCAATTTTAATATTACGCAAAGATAATGCAAGTAAATACAAAATGCAGTTTTTAAATGATAATTTCATTTATTAAGGGAAAAAAGCTGTCCAAACCTACCTCCCTACGTGAAAAATTATTTGCCCCTCCTCTTAAATCATGAAAGAACTATGATTAACCACATCATTTTAGAAAGCTGAGTTAAATTTCACTAGCCACACGCAGGCCTGATTACTGCCAGACCTGTTGAATCAAGTAGATAGATAGATAGATAGATAGATATATAGATAGACTGACCTTTAACTTTTGGCCCTTATTGAGCAGATTGAGGGAAGGGTCAACACAGCTCAGCAAGATTCCGCTTTCACTGCCTCAGGCCTTCAGCAGAACATTTTACAAGTCTTGGGTTTGTTTGATGTGGTGAGATGGTGTGTATTCACTGCTTCTGTTACAGTGCGGAAGAAGTTCAGGATTTTAAGAGCACTCTTTAATAGGATAAACACCACAAAATAGCACTGCTCGCTGGAAGACTTACAACTGATTGCAATAGATTTTGACATTAATATGATGCTAAGCTAATAACAAAAAGTATATAAATATCATGCACAAATATTGGGTAAAACAGTTAATTTTAATTAGGTTAGAATCTTCAGGAAGGTGTATTTACAATCTCTCATTTTTATGCATTTTTCTTGTTTGTTTGTAGCGCATTCTAATCAGTGCATTCTGGATTGTTTTACTATGTCATAATTTGGCCAAAATGAGGCACAGTATTTTAAATCAAAATGCATTTTTTTTTTAGGATTATAAAAGTTCATTTAAAATTAAAATAGTATTTTATTGACATTCATAGTTATGAAAGTAGGAAATCAAAATCAGCTTAACACAAAGTAAATAGTCTCAAGATAATATTTAAATAATTTCATTTGGCTTCAGTACAATGACAATATAAAAGTCAATTATTATTTAGGATGTTTTAATATTCAACCTTCCTGCACAGAGATCAACCTCCCTGCACAGTTAAGTTACTCTAATTAAACACATTTAATATTTGGAGTTACAGGATGTTATGTTAAAACTAATCTTAAAGGGTTAAAACTAAAATTGGCGGGGATGGGAGATCTCCAGGAGCAGAATTAAGTGTCCCTGCTGTAGAGGATTTAAGCTCAGATTTTAATAATACTGACTGGTGCCACTATTTCCCCTTTTTGGCAGCCTGCTGATTTATGGTCTTTACAGAGCTTTAAATTGCGCGTTGGAAATGAGTCTTCACATTTATATTCACATTTAAGCATTTGGCAGACGCTTTTATCCAAAGCGACTTACATTGCATTGAATGTCTACATCTTATCAGTTCAAGCATTCCCTGAAAAATAAACCCATGATGCCAGGGGTGTCCAAACCTGTTCCTGGAGGGCCACTGTCCTGTAGAGTTTAGCTCCAACCCTAATTAAACACACCTGAACCAAAGTAATCAAGGTCTTCAGACTCACTAGAATCTTCCAGGCAAGTGTGTTAGAGCTGGTTGGAATTAAACTTCGCAGAACTGGACATCCCTGAGCTATGCTCTACTGTTCGACCTACTTTATCTGTTTTCTCATTAATACCATCAACCCTTTTCTTCTCCTCTTTCTCAGGCTGAGTTTTCTGCGGCGGCGGTGTTGCATCAGGCCCGACGGGATCAGGTGACGGACACATGTCGTGCCCACAGCGCGTCCAGCCGCAAGCGACAAGTCCTGACCCCCAGCGACCTCAAGCACCTTGTGGTGGACGAGGAGCATGAGCTCATCTACTGCTACGTCCCCAAGGTGGCCTGCACCAACTGGAAGCGGGTCATGATGGTGCTGAGCGGCCGGGGCAAGTACAGCGACCCCATGGAGATTCTGTCCAACGAGGCCCACGTGCCCTCCAACCTCAAGACCCTCAACCAGTACAGCATTCCCGACATCAACCACCGGCTCAAGAGCTACCTCAAGTTTCTCTTCGTGCGCGAACCCTTCGAGCGGTTGGTGTCGGCCTACCGTAACAAATTCACGCTCCGATACAACGCCTCATTTCACAAACGCTATGGGACGAAGATTGTGCGGCGGTACCGCAAGAATGCAACAACCGAGGCACTGCAGAGCGGTGCCGACGTGAAGTTCCAAGAGTTCGCTGAGTACCTGGTGGACCCGGGCACTCAGAGAGAAGCTCCGCTCAACGAACACTGGCAGACGGTCTACTCGCTCTGCCACCCCTGCCACATCCACTACGATCTGGTGGGCAAGTACGAGACTCTGGAGGAGGACGCCAACTATGTGCTCAAACTGGCAGGGGTGGGTGACTCCTTGCGCTTCCCGTCGTACGCTAAATCCACCCGTACCACCGACCAAATGGCAGCCATGTTTTTCAACAACATCAGCTCCCAGCAGCAAGGCCAGCTGTACCAACTTTACAAACTGGACTTTCTAATGTTCAACTACTCCATTCCCAGCTACCTAAAACTGCAGTAATCACATGTATGCAGTTGCGCACACGTTCCGAGCTTGTTCAACAAGGTTGAGCAATGGGAGAAGGACTGTGGCTGAAAGACACAGATGGGGGAAATCAACTGAGCACTCAAATGTAAAATTTTACTTATATCCGCAGGGACGGTTGCTTTATTTCGAGATGACTAAGGAGCTATCGGTCAACTGCAAATGCGGACCACTTTGAAAGTCTTTTGAGACGGAAGTCTGATGTATTTGCCCATTGAATTGTACATTTCCAGTGTAAAAGCCCCTGTTCCCAAACATCAAAAGCAATATGACAGATTCTGAGCTATACCTGCTCAAATGGTTTATCTATTAATATACTCAACCAGCCGCCGCCATAATTGAAGCTTCACAGAAAGGAGCGCCTAGACTAATAATAAGACTCGAGATACAATCAAACTTGTTCCGACTTCAATTCCCCACTTCTAATTTCGTGTTCCCTTTGGAAGTTCCCTCGCTTCTCCCATACTCAGGCGGCCTTTGTGTGTGTGCACACTAAAAAAGAAGACAAAAAAAAGGCATTGAATGGTGCCTTCCTGAAGGGGGCGTGTCCAAATGTGAGTGACAGGCAGAGGCTCCGCCCACTGGGTCAGTCATGGAGCATCTGTAGCAGTCAGGAGGTCAGAGGTCACTGCAAGCTGGCCTCAAGCACACTGTTCTCACAACCCCTCCTCCCTCAGTTGGTCTTCAGTAAGGATTTTTAAAGCAGGAATTTGTTTTATTTTGTATTTGTTTATAATGGAAAAAGTTGCTGCGAGCAGCACGTTATAATACTATTTGAATTACTGTGTGAAATAGAGATGAGAAAGACTTAATATGTTGTTTCCAGGAAAGGAAATCAGCTTAGAGCTAGAGACTTTCTGAGGTTTAATTGTCATAATTTGTTCATATTTCTTCTTGCCTCATTTGCAGAACACTGTTGCTGGGATACCTCGCTGGTTGTTTTGTGACGGGTGTACGGAAACGGGCAGGACTTTGTTTTCTGAGCTGTTCTCATGGGAAAGTTTCACACAGTGGTGTGTGTTTGAGAGAGAAAATGCAGGCGAATCTGTTCCATTCCATGATGATTTAAACGTCTTTCCCAGTTTGAGTTCAAAGGAACTCCCTTTAATTTAGCAAGCTGTCTTTTATGATTCTAATTTGCTTTGACGGTGCACAAAAATTATAAAAATTGCTTATTTATATGCACGATTGGCCACAAGTGGGTGTGTCCCAGTGCTTTATCTCATTGTCTTTGTCTGTAAAAATCCAATGCAAATCTTGACTCTGGCTAACGGCTTCTTTTAGCTTTCTCTCTCCCATATCTCTCTGCTTTTTAGGAAAAGTCCTGGGTTTATTTGGCCTGAATAAGAGGGTGCTGATTAGCAGGATTTTAAGTCCTGTAGAGCAGGGTCTTTAATGAAGACCACACACACACTCACACACACTTGTGGCAGCACCCTATGCAGAGGGTAAAACGTGGCAAAAAAGCAAAAGAGAAGAAAAACATCTTTTAAAACCAAGCCACGTTATCAACCACTCTTTCTTTGTTTACTCTATTTCTACTGCTACTCCTTTCTCACGCTGCCTTTAATACGTCTTATCCTACTCAAACAAAAAAAAAATGAAAAGAGCTTTTAAAAAAAGATTACAATTCCCATGCAGATTCCTAATCTTGGAAAACCAGTAAAACCATATGGAAGCCATAATTACAAAACTCATTTATTTTAACCGAGTTGTCATTCAGTAGCCTAATTATGGTAACTGACTTGCTGGTTAGGACAACAACTCAGATTTACATGCAAGAGATTCCAGTAGATACATTTAGCATGTTTTCTTTCACAAAGACACATAAAACCTTTATCTAGTTGTTATTAGATTACCTGTTCAAATCTCTGCTCTCCTTTTCACCAGAACAGGAAATGAATCAGAAGTGAAATGAATCACTTCATTTTGAATCATCAGCTCAGAAAACAAAGCCTGGATGGTTTCTCCTTTTATAAACTGTTTATTTCATTTGTTCTGCAACAACAAACACGGTACAGCCTCATTAGCGCCCACACGACAGCCACGCTAATACACGCATTAGCGCCCACATTAGCAGGCACAGTGCCTTTCAAACTGTCACTCTATCGCATGTAGTACAGCTCACTCACGTTGCATACAGCATTTTTCATTTTTAGAAATACAAAACATGATTTGCTTTATTTACGATTCATGTTTCCAGCTGAGCACTTCCCCAGATGGAGGTTTTATCATATTTAGCTAACTTAGCTAACTTTACACACTCTAGGACAGAACGGCTAGGCTCACCATCCACACATGCTCAAATGGCTTACCTGTTACTCTATGTGCCTGTTTAATAATCAGTGTCTGTCTACATTGGTTCAATGTTGCTGTATTTGTTTCAGTGAGCGTCCACTCGCTTTCTTGAGCTCACAAACATTCTTGAACTATCGGCAGTTTAATTTATTTATTTATTCCTCCTCTGTATTCAGGATGGACTCTGCCGGGTCACTGGGTCGGACCCTCGCACTGTAAATGAGAAAAATACAAACCAAGTGAACTGTCGGATCAATGCGCTTGCTGGAGAAGGCGCTCACACACTCTCTCTCCTCTGTTTTCTCAATAAATCTGAAACTTAAACCCTTAGTGGCCAATTTGTTACTGTCTGTGTCTCCACATAATCATTAAACTTGAGTGAAAATGTTGTCAGTTGTTAAAAGGATCTTTTTAACACAGCTGTTCCTTCTCATTTGGCATGGTTTCTAGCATTTTATGCTAAGATGATCCATAGGAAAACATCAAATCTTTTTCGGATCCTGCATCGCACGGCCCTGCTCACAGCTTCTTATAGGGGATTTGTTCAATTACAATCTTCCTTAAATCCTGAGGGGGTTTAATAGGGCTTATCCAAAATAAGTAGAGGCTGAATGTGATCCCTCACCTTTAGATAAACAACGTCTAAGTTTGTCTGTGAGCTTGTTGTGCAGTTTGAAACCATTTATGGCTACTGTGGCTCAGCTGGTAGAGCTTGATGCCAGTAATGCCAAGGGACAGCTTTATATCTGTTGTTATGTGAATAATCAGTCAGTAACTACTTTCTGAAGTCTCACTCTTACTGTACAACATACAGTTGTTTACTAGCAAGTTTCATGCATTTGATTCACTAAACAGAATGACTCATCATAAGAGGACAATGTGTTTATGATTCAATAAAAAGAACCAACTCAAAAGATTTTTTCTTTTAGATTAACCTTAAACGGCGTGTAAAAACAAACTGAAAAGTGGTTGTCTGTTTTACATGCCGATCAACAATATGGTGCTTTCTAGGAGGGTGTAATAAGCAGCAAAACAAACTAGACTTTATTCGTCAAATATGTGGTTTGGGAGACTAGATACTCCCTAACAATATTATCATTACTATATGAAAGAACCCAGTTATTAGCCTCTTAGCAAGGCCACATTTTTGAATCTTTGACAATATGGCTGACCTTGTGGTGTTTGCAGGGCCTCCCAGGTCTTGTGGCGAGTCCAGATGTGTCTGGTTATATGTTATATCCCAGCTAGATTTAAAGTGGGACCTTTGAAGGTTTGATGCAAGAGGAAACGCAAAAGTGTGCCAAGCTTTTGTGCCACATAGGCACAACAGATCTGCGTCACGGGCTGCCAGAGAAATGTGTGTCACTCCACTGTGAAGAAAGATTCATGTACGCTTCAGTAGTAGTGGGTTGTCACTTTGGTGTTAAAAGCGAGATTGCAGCCAAAGCCTAACTTCACATCGAAAATCCTGAGCTTTGGGTTTTTTTTCTTGCTGAATGTGCAATTCTCATGCAACTTTGCTACCGCACCTGCTATGGTCGCCTCCGCTCCACCCTCCACCGTAACCTCTCGGTAATGCTCAGAATACACCAATTCCTAGCCGCTGAGGCGAAGTTCATCCTCTGAATTAGGTCCTTTAGCCACATCAAACCTGGCATTGCGATAGGGTTTGGGTTTTCTCAGTGAACACGTGCAGGGTCGAGTTGGCAGCAGTTCTCTGTCATTATCTAACTTATGAAGGGCTGAAATGATGATGTTGGTGGGAAGTTAGATGTTGTTCCCTTAGGGACCGCTATGCTGTTTACTGCTAATATGCAGGCGTAGCTGAAAACTACTATGATTTGGTTTAATCTCCAAGCTCTAAAACCCAGCCAAAAGACAACCAAAAGCAAGAAGATATTTTCAGTGAAGTGTTCCTTAATTCCCAAGGATGAAATTGGTTGTGGTTCGTTCACAGCGGAGATTTTCAGTCCGTCCATTTCCCTAAGAAGTGTTTCTCAGTGCTGTATACTTGATTAGTTCATAGTAATCCATTTGCACAACAGTTGAACTCCTTCAACCCTTCGCTTCAGCTTCATTCAAGAAGGAATTTCACACCTGAATGGCAGAAACCGCTCTCTGTTGGAGTCTAAGCATGACAGAGAACGACAACTTCTTCTCCTTCTCGCTCATGGCTGAATTTAGCAAATACTGACAATAAAGAGGAAGAGGATGAAGTGAACAATCAAAACGAGTGGTTTGTTAAAGTCATGACAGTTCACCAAAAAATACTAAATTCTGACATCATTTCCTCACCCTCATTTCGAAGCTGTTTGACTTACTTTCTTTTGGACAACACAGATGATGATATTTTGGACAAAGTATTTCAACTGTTTGTCTATACAATAAAAATCAATGGGGTCCAGTGGGTACCCCACTGACTTTCATTGTATGAACTAAAGAGGCATTTTCCAAAATATCTTCTTTTTCGTTGCACATATGAAAGGAACTCATACAGTTTTGGAACGTCATGAGTGTGAGCAAACAATAACAATTGCCCTTTAAAATATCCCTGAACTGGCATTTCAAAACTATTTCAGGTCAAAAGTGGTGCTGGATAAAATGAAAATGTTCGATAGATAGTCCAAATGGAGAAATAAAATGTGACAACAGTGAGTAAAGAGTATGCTGTACAGTCCAGGGCCCTCAGAACTGATTGAGGTGGAGTTGTTGGATGAAGTCCTTCAATCTAAACCATCATTTTTGGCTTGTATTTAACTCTCACGCTCATGCCAGGGGACAACTCCAAATCCCATCTTTAAGATGTACTTGATGATCAGGATGGCAAAGGTTGTAATGGAAGAGTGGGTGTTTTGTCGACTTGAGTCTGACTTCATTACCATAGTTCAGTGCTGCTTATACTGTCAGAAAAAGGCGAGGTTATGTTATAGACAACAGTGAAAATGCTAGTCTTAAGGGCCTTCCATTATTTATCAAGCTTAAAGGAAAAATTTAATTTAAAATATAATGAAACTGATCTGGGCTGTCAAGGTTAAATTTCAACTTATACAAAGTTATTTTGGTTTGCTCCTCACTTAAAGCCATCATA